TGGAAGAAGAACAGACACCCGGACCAATGGAACCAAATAGAAAATCCAGAAATACACCCACAGATTTACAGTCAACTAACCTTTCACAAAGAAGCAAAGAATATGCACTGGAGCAAAGAAAGGTTGTTCAATAAATGGTGCTGGGTAAACTGGGTCACTACATGCAAAGGAATGAAGCTTGACTACTATCTCACACCATGCACACAAAAAAAAAATCAAAATGGATTAACGAAATAGACATAAGACCTGAAACCATAAAATATACAAACGGAAATATAGGCTAAACACTACACGACATACACCTCAGTAACATCTTTAAAGACACATCACCCAAAGCAGTGATAGCTAAGGCAAAGATAAACAGCTAGAACTACGTCAAATTAAAGAGCTTCTGTACAGCAAAAGAGACAGCAACCTAAACAAAGAAACACCCCACCGACTGGGAGAAAATTTTTGCACACAACTGTAACGATAAAGGACCTATTACAATAATCTGATGAGACTCAACAAAAGCTGATGAGCTGATAAGACTCAACAAATAAATAATCAAGTCAAAAAATAGGCAGAAGAGCTAAAAAGAATCTTCTTCAAAGAGGAAATGCAAGTGGCCAACAAGCCTCTTGAAAAATGTTCAACATCACTTGTAATCAGGGAAATGCAAATCAAAACTACAATGAGATACCATCTTACACCAGTGAGAATGGCACATATTAAACAAACTAGCAACAACAAATGTTGGCGAGGATGTGGAGAAAATGAAGACTCCTGCACTGTTGGTGGGAGTGCAAACTGATCCAACCACTATGGAAAGCTGTGTGGAGATTCCTCAACCTACTAAAGATAGAGCTTCCATATGATCCAGCAATTCCACTCCTAGGTATTTACACAAAGGACACAGAAACATTAATTCAAAAGGGCACCTGCACCCTTATGTTTATTTCAGCACTATTTACAATAGGTAAGCTATGGAAACAGCCCAAATGGTTGACTGGATCAAGAAGATGTGGCATATATACACAATGGAATACTATTCAGCAACCAAAAAGATAAACTCACTCATGTAATTGCAGCAACATGGATGTAGCTGGAAGGGGTCATGCTCAGCAAAATAGCCTAGAAATAAAAAACGGATGGTCTCACTCATAGCAGGAATTTAGAAAACATAAATAAGGGACCAGGAAAAAGACTAATAAAGTAAAAATCAAATCAAAAACATCTATAAATCAGAGACACACTCTGGGGTGTGAGGGGAGGGAGTAGGGACAAAATAAGGAGGGTGGGAATTGCATGGGGACTATCACCAAGATAAAAATGCATACAATGTACAAAAATGAAAAATGGGGCCTCCCCGTTGGCGCAGCGCTTGAGCACTGGGTTGTGAAGCTGCCTGCAGCCTCTGCAGCCTGTTCAATCCCTGGCCTCCAGGGAGGGTCCCACGTGGTGCTCAGACCTCTTCTGCAGCCTGCTGCTCCCCTCAGCAGTGTACTTCCTCAGTCTGCCTGCTCTGCTCTCCCCTCTGGCTCTGATGAATTCTCTCGCCCTCCCACACTTCTGACTGTACCCAGTGCTTGTATAAATAAATCTTTAAAAAAAAAAAAAAAAGAAAACGATGTAAAAATATATAAAATGAAAAAAATGTCCTGGTTAAATCATGAAAGTATCTTTTCTATTTTATCATCCTGAAATCCACGTTTTTTTTAAAGGTCTGAAACCATAGCAAGGGAGTGCACATCAGGCCCATCTGCTACAGTCCAAAGGGCTGTGTCCCCGGGGGAAATGTAGGAAGTGAATTAGCCTTTTTTTTAAAGGCTATCCCATCTTTAATTGAAGGAATGAATGACTAAAACTATGGTTCCTTAGACTAGCTGAATTGGGAGACACTTTCCTGAAAATGAATGTGAGTCTGTCCCTTTTAAAAATCAACTGATGACACTTGTTGCCTTGATAAAATGTAAAACTCCCAGAGAAAACCGGAATTATGGAAAATTGAGTCCTTTCACTATAAACTTGAGAACTTACAGTACAGACTAATTTTTCTTTTGGGATCTGTGGTAAAAAATAAAACATGATTTTTGATAACTTGATCCCAGTGTAATTAACACTATATAGCTATGGAACATAATGAAACAATAGGTAACTTTTTAAAAAAAAAATCATACAATTGTACAAGATCCATTAATCTTTAAGAGAGGCCTATGGGGTTAATATAAAAGAATAGGAAATATTCAAAGACATTGTTTCAGTTTCACTTTGCAAATAATCTTTGAGAAAATATTACTTATATAGTTATAATTTAGTATGAAAGTTATAACAAAGTTGAATATTCATAATCTGAAAAGGTTATTAAAATACTATTCCTACCTATTTCCTTGAAATTGTATATTTTTTCATAGATTTCAAACAAAACATTAAATGTAGAAGAAACTATGAAAATAAAGATTTTCTAATGAGACAAAAATGACACTTGTAAAAATATAAAATGTGAAAGTTCCCCTCCTTTCATTATCCTTATATTTACAGAAAGTTGTTTTCTTAAAAATGCTTTGTTAGCACACATTGGTTGTTATTATTCTAAAGTAAAGAAGTAATAACATCTTTTAAAAAGGTTTTATTCCAGTAAAGTAAATATTTAAAGCTATAACCCACATAACAAAATTATGCATGGAATCCGTAGTAATTTGTGAGACTGTGCAGACATCCTGAAAAAATTGTCTGAGAATCGCCGACCAATTCCTGGGCCTGGACTCAGGAGACAGTGTGACTAAGGTCTTGGTGCAGGAGAGGAGGAGGCAGCAAAGTCCAGGTCTCAGGGTGTGGCTTTCAAGGTCTGAGCACCCAGGGCGCTGTCTGGGGCTGGACGGTTACTGTTGGGGATTCCCCATCTCCCCACTTTCGCGCCTTCTCACAACCTGCGTCGGTCCTCCTTCCTGGATACTGGCTCACTCCCCATTGCCTGGAGGTCTCCGGAGCAGCCAATCAGCAGCCCCGCGGCTCCCGTTCCAAAGCCCTCGCCCACCCGCCGGGACTCCGTCTCCCCAGCCCGGGTGGAGGCGCGTCCTGGGGGATGGGGGGCGCAGCCCTCCTGCTCCTGCTCGCGGTGGCCGCCGCCCCGAGGGAGACCCGGGCGGGTGAGTGCGGGTCGGGAGGGGACAGGGCGCTCCCAGAGGCGGGAGCGAGGGCGCGGGCGGGCGTGGGAAAGGCGCGACCTCGCCGCCGCCCTAGTTGTCCCCCCACCTCGGCCCCGCCCCGTCCTGGCCCCTTTCCGTCCCCGAGACCCCAGCCTCCTCTGGCCCCCCGAGTCCCGGCCATGTTCGTCCCGCAGCCGCTTTTCACTCTCGCTCGTCTTTCACCCACTTTCTGTCTCGTGGCGCCCCCTGGGACTCGAGCCCCCGAAAGGGGAGAAGAATAGCCCGGGTCTCCCCTCCCGCCCCAGGCCCCCACTCCATGAGGTTTTTCTACACCGCGATGTCCCGGCCCGGCCCCGGGGAGCCCCGCGTCATCTCGGTGGGGTACGTGGACGACACGCAGTTCGGGCGGTTCGACAGCGACTCCCCGGGCCAGAGGGCGGAGCCGCGGGCACCCTGGGCGGAGCAGGTGGGACAGGAGGATCGGGACGAGGAGACGCGGCACCAAAGGAGCAAGGCACAGTGGTACCGCGCGCAGCTGCACTCCCTGCGCGGCCTCCACAACCACAGCCAGACCGGTGAGCTGGCGCGGGTCCGGGCCGGGTCAGCACCCCCATCCCCACGGACGGGGGATCGCTCAGGGTCTCCCCCTCCAGGCTTCCCTGCAACCTGCCCGGGAACAGCCCGCGGGACTTTCACCCTGTTTCATTCTGTTTAGTTTATTCAGGATGGGAGGGCGGGCCGGGCGGGTGACCGCGGGGTGACGGGGCGGGGACAGGGTCTCACGCCTTCCAGAGGATGTTTGGCTGCGAAGTGGGCCCGACGGGCGCCTCCTCCGCGGACACAGTCAGTTCGCCTACGACGGCGCCGATTACCTGGCCCTGAACGGGGACCTGCGCTCCTGGACCGCGGTGGACACGGCCGCTCAGATCACCCGGCGCGAGTGGGAGGCCCTGGGTGAGGCAGAGAAATTCAGGAACTTTGTGGCTGGCAAGTGCTTGAGGTGGCTGCGCAGATTCCTGGAGTACGGGAAGGAGACTCTGCAGCGCACGGGTAAGAGGGGCCTGGAGGCTCCCAGGCCCCCCCCCCTGCCTGGAATAACTGCGGGAAATGCGTCCTCTCTCTAGTCCCGAGAGGGGGGACTCCCTGGGTTTCATGTTGTGCACCAGAGAGACTCCCAGAGACTCCTGCTTCTCCTGCAGGACAGTGAAGGGATCCCGTCTCTCCTGAGAAAGACAGACAGTCCCTGACATCACACGTCACCGGGTCCTTTTGACCAGGCGGCTTATTTGAGAACCAGGAGTTTCTCTCTCAGTCTTATTTCTGGTCTGAGAACATTTTTAGTTATGTGATTCCTGCTTTTCTGTGTCATTCACCTTCCACCCAGGTCAGGAATAAAAAGTCTGTGTTCCACTCCCTCTGATTCATCCTACCCTGGGTTTTCCTCCTCATTCTAGAACTTTCTAAGGAATAGGAGAATCTCAGAGATTCCCCCAGACTAGCCTGTTTTTCACATTTTATGCTTCTTCCTGCCACACGGTTGTCTTGTCCATTGTGAGGATGGTCTCATGAGGATTCTTCAGTGTCCATGGAGGAAACCCAGAGTGAATTTTCTGATTTACCACCTCAGATCCCCCAAAGACACGCATGACCCAGCACCCCACCTCTGAGGATGAGGTCACCCTAAGGTGCTGGGCTCTGGACTTCTACCCTGCACACATCACCCTGACCTGGCAGCGAGATGGGGAGAACCAGACCCTGGACACAGAGCTGGTGGAGACCAGGCCTGGGGGCGATGGAACCTTCCAGAAATGGGCGGCTGTGGTGGTGCCTTCTGGAGAGGAGCAGAGATACACATGCCATGTGCAGCATGAGGGCTGCGGGAGCCCGAGTCCTGACTTGGGGTAAGGAGGGAACATGGGCACAGAGTTTCTCAGGGGCATCAGGAGCCCTTCTGGAGACCTTCAGAGGGTCAGGATGAGGCCTGGGGCTCAGGGTCTAACCTTCCCTTCCCTTCCAGTGCCCCCTCCTCAGTCCTCCATCACCACCGTGTACTTCATTGCTGGCCTGGTTCTCGGAGTTGTGCTCCCTGGAGCTGTGGTGGCTGCAGCTGTGATAGGGAGGAAGAAGCGCTCAGGTAGGGAAGGGAGAGGGGGGTCTTGTCCACTGGGGGCTTTCATGTTCCAGGGAGAACTTGCCCTACCTGGTTAATGGGAAATACCATCCACACACATGTCTTGCCAAGGGGGCATATAGTCCAATCCCCTCCCCCACCACACCTTTTTTCCTTTCTTCATTTTTCCCAGTCCTGACCTGGGTCTTAGTCACAGTTTTGGAAACTTCCCTGTGGTGCAGGATTAGAAGATTCCTTTAGGCTTCTGACCTGACTCCTGCCTGGTCTCACAGGATGTTTCTTCCCACAGGGGGACAAGGAGGAAGCTACACTTAGGCTGCAGGTAAGGGTGGATCAGGGGTTTGGTCCCTGAGCCCCTGGGGACAGTGAAAAAGGAGCCCATGGGGGAGTCACCCCCATTAGTCCCTCCTGTGGTCTCATCTCTGACCAGGTTTGTTTTGTTCTCAACCAGGCAGCGGCAGCGCCCAGGGATTTGATGTATTTTTCAGCCCCTAAGGATCTTTTACGATGAACCTGATGAGGCTCCTGTTTGCACACCCTGGACAGTAGGGTGATGGTGTCACTGTTGTTCTTAACTGTGATAATTGAGCATTTGTTCATATTTTTATTTTTCTATTTCTGCATAGTTGTTATGTCTATGGAGGTCAATTTTTTTTTTAAGATTTATTTATTCATGCTTCCAAGAACCGGGGTATAGGCCAGATGCTCAGGAGAGTGAGAAAATTCACCAGAGACAGAGTGGGGAATAGAACAGGCAGACCGGCGAAATACACTGCTCAGGGGAGCAGCAGGTGCGACAGGGGAGGTCTACCGTGCCATGTGGGATTCTTGCCTGCCGGCTGGGATCAAACCTGCATTGCAGAGCCTGCAGGCAGCTTCACAGCACTGCGCTCAACCACCAGCACCACTTCTGGGAGGCCAAGAAGTCATTTTTTTTTTTGCTATGTTTATAACACTGTTTTTGTCCTTATTAAAATTGGGTTATTTCTTGTTGATCATTGAGTTTTAAGCATTATTTGTAAATTCTCGATACAGTCCTTTATCAGTCCTTTATCGTGATATGCAAATGTTTCCCCCCCTCTGTGACCTGAACTTCTGTATTGATGGGAAAACAAGCATTATTGTCCAGACAGAAGCATGGATATATTTTTTCAGAAGAGAAAAAATAAATTGCTAATTGGTTTTGAGCAGATACTGGCTGACTGGGATGTTGGGGGATGGAGGGGAATACTTACTTATGCATATCCTTGAGTGTTATTTAAATATCCTTGTATGAGCATGAAATATACTTTCAAAAGTAAATTACACTTCATTCCTCAATTTATAAAACTCTTCACACATCATGTCCACATCACGTGTTAAGACCAGACTGACACGTGGGTTACCAGTGAGGGGCCCGCATGTCATAGTCGCAAAGGCATGTTTTCTCTCAGAGGTCGCTCTGGTGTTGTCCGTTCTGTGGGTGTTGGACAAACGTGTAATGACCTGTGTCCATCATGAGAATATCATGCAGAGTATTTTCACTGCCCATAATGTCTTCCATGCTCCAAGGAAGCAAAAGCAAAAAGAAACCAATGGAATCACATGAGACTAAAAAGCTGCTACATAGTGAAGGAAACTCGTTAAAATGAAAAGACAGTATCAAGTTGGAGAAAATATTTGCACATCATCAATCCATAAAGGAGTTAATATCCAAGATCTACAAAGAACTATAAAACAAGAAAACAACTCAGTCAAAACAGGGGCAGAGGATCTAAATAGGTACTTTTCTAAAGAAGACACACAGATGGCTGATAGGTACATGAATAAAAGTTTATCATCATGTGCTGTCAGGAAAATGCCAATTAAAATCACAATGAGCTACCACCTCACACCTGTGAGAATGACCCATTGAAGGGTGTGGAGGGAAAGGAACTCTGGTACATGGTGGGTGGGGATGAAGTCTGTTCCTGTTAGTGAGCAGAATGAGGGGTTCCCCGGACCCTCAAACCTGTACACTCTACATGGGATCTGCCATCAGCTGAATAAAGACAAAACATACTAACATACTCTAAAACATAAGACCTTCAAATAGAAAAGAACTTTAATACAATTAGTGTGTAATAGAGAATTAGTGTGCAATAGAGAGAAGAGAAAGAATATAGTTAGAATAGTTCACAAGTGATGCACCCAAAGCTACCCATCCCCTCATGGGTAAATTCCCAGCCAAACAGTTTTGGCCAAAGCAGGCCCACCAAGGCCTGAAAGCCTGCCAAAAGTCTAAAGCACCTACTGGTAGAGACACATGGGGAGGGAGCAGGAGGGCGTCAGGCAAGTCTGGAAGGACAAGAGCAAAATCAAAATCCACATCAAGATAAGGGCTGCCATTGTCAGCCTCCCCATGGGCCTCTCATCCACATCTTTGTCCCTTTCACATGTCTACAGTCCAGGAAGGGAGGGAGAGATGGAGCAGGGTCTGTTGCGTCGGGCAACACCACACTGATAAAGAAACAGGAGTTGTGGAGTAGGCTACATAATGCAGGATGCTACTGAAGAGCAAGATCCTGGCTGTTTTTTATTGCATAAGTTACATGGGGTAGGAGGACAAGGAGGAAAGGATGGGTGAAATAAGGAATGTCATCTTGGGCTTTAGGGGGACAGGAGTCTGCTGACCAGATAATTCTTATCTGCTTGATGATCAAGTGTTGTAATCAAAACCAGACCCCAGACCCCGGACCATGGTCCTAATCTTGTCAATAAGGCAGTTCACTGGTCAGCTTCTGGGGTCCCATGTCATACATTGGTGTTTGGCTCCCTGGGTGTTTCTGGTCATACCTTGTGATGCACACCCTTCCCAGGGTGATCAAGCTTTCTGCTCTTGAAAGATTTGAAAGGCACCTTGTAAGGTTTGGCTCCCATGACTGAGTGACCAGGCAGTTCTGACCTTGTACAGGAATGCAGAACTGCAGGTCGCAAAAATGGTGGCTGAACAGGCTGCTTAAGTTTAGCGGACCCACCAGGGTCTACCTCAGTTACTAGTGGAGATGTAATGTTAGAGGGGGTGAACTGATGTTTCTTTCTCATTCTGGGGCTCTCCCATCTCCCCACCGTAACCCTCCATGTGCAGTAGGGAGAGGATATCAGGTCAAACCCACGCTGCTTCCCCACGTCTCTCCCCACTTAGTGTTCAGGATGAATCTCCTTGTATTCATGGCCACACTGGAAGAGAGCACAGAAAGGTAAGTATCATTATTGTATTTGCTACATTGGGATTAGAGGTAAGTTTTTTTTTTAATGATAAAAGTTCTTTTATTTGGGTTGTTGCTGTAACAATGGTGTGCAATTAGAATAAAACCTGGGAGGGCCTCCCCAGTGGCGCAGTGATTGAGCGCTGGGTTGCAAAGCTGCCCACAGCCTCTGCAGCACTGGTTCCATCCCAGGCCGCTGGCGAGGGTCCCACATGGCGCGCAGACCTCTCCTGCCGCCGCTGCTCCCCTCAGCAGTGTATTTCGTCACTCTGCCTGTTCTGCTCCCCGCTCTGGCTCTGGTGAATTCTCTCACCCTCCCACACTTCTGACAGTACCCAGTGCTTGTATAAATAAATAAATATTTAAAAGAAAAAAACCTGGGAGAAGGAGAAAGTGTTGAATTGAGTTTTCATAATGTAAACCAAAAAAGAAAAAGTCAACAATGAAAATAAGAGAAACATTTCCATGAATTATTCAGTTTAACCCACAACACCCTGGAAGTTGTCAGATACCATGATCCCAGCGTAACTAATGACTGTGGGAGTGAGACTCAGAAGCACAGCCCAGGCCACACATTGGGTGACCCAGGTTTCTGACCACCAGGGTCCCCCTGCTCTGGCAGTTGTAGTGGGGAAAGGTCTGGTTGCTGAGGAGGCTGAGGAATCAGTGTGGTCAAATCCACTGGAAACATCCAGAGTGAGGGTTGGGTCCTCTTAGTGACAGGCAAACACTACCTGCCCAGGCAGCCGTTCTATTGAGAAGTCAAATTAAAAAAATTCCTCCTGATATTGCTCTGGTGATGGAGGCAGATGAGGTGGGACAGAAAGTGGAGGTGATGCCAGGCCCTGTGAGCCCTTGCTGCCGGGTGTGGGGAGCAGAGAAGGCAGGTGAGGATCCATGTTGAGAAAGGCCTGGGGCGCCATGGGGAGCAGAGATTGGAGAGGGTGAGAGGGTGCGGGGCAGGGAGGAGGTTCCTGCAGCCTGACCAGGGCAGATGTGGTCACCTCCACCCTGAGTGTCTCCTCTGCCCTCCGTTGTTCACCTTCCTCACCCACCTTGGGGGACAGTCATGGCCTTGGGATCACTACTGGACACCCCGTGGAAGAAGTGACCTGCAGCATTTGCCTGGAGACAAGAGACCCCTGGGAGCATCTCCTGTGGCCACAGCTTCTGCCAGGCCTGCTCTCAGCTGAGTCACTCTCAGATTCCCTGAGGTCTTGTGTGCTGTCTACGCTGCCAGGAGCCACCACAGGAGAGAACAGCAGGTTCAGTTTTATTCTGGTCGGTTTGTCCTCTGGGGCAGCCTTGCCCAGTGGTCATTTTCCTTTTTCTACATTTAATCTGGATCCCTGAAGCCTGGTGCAAGTAGTGGGGTAGACCGGCTTTGCTGAGGCCGCTTCAGTAGCAAGCCTTGACACAAGCCACGGGAAGAGAGGCACATGGCATTCTAGGCCCAAACTCAGTGTGCAGCCTGTGGGCCTCCCTGAGCTCTGGCAGCGTTGGCCTGCGCTGTGCTGTGGCAAGTGGTAGACAGGCCTGGTGGGCTGTGATAGAGGGGTGCCTGCTCTGGATGCTCAGGTGAGTGTCTGGCCCTGCTGAAGCCCACTCCCACTGTGATCCCTGATGCTGGGGGGAGAGGGGACCTTACTGTGCAGCCTATGGGCCCATTTGATGCCCTCTGAGTGAGAGCGGCCTGCACTCCAGGGTGAGACTATCTGACCTCAGGCATTTGGACACACTGGCAGGTGTTTCATTTAGGAATACAGTGCCAGAATTGAAATGGACCGGTCAGATTCAAGCTCTCACAGGTGCCATTCAAGGTTTTTTTTTGTTTGTTTGTTTTAAAAGAGATTTTTTTCTTTACTTATGTATGCACACAGAACTGGGGTTTAGGCCAGAGGTGTGGGGGGCAAGAGGATTCACCAGAGACAGAGTAGGGCGCAGAAGAGGTGGGTCTACTGAAATACACTGCTAAGGGGAGCAGCGGGCAAGACAGGAGAGGTCTGCTGTGCCATGTGGGTTGGCTCCCTCACCAGGGATCAAACTGGTGGCGTAGGCTGTCAATAGCTTGATTGGGCTGTGTCTTTAACCCTGTGCCACCAGGTAGCTCCCCTCACCACATTCAAAGTTTTTGAGATCATTCAGGGCTCTAAATGAACCAATCTGATTGGCGCTCCACTGGCACCAACCAAACAGCTGGGATTATAAAGGGACCAATCAGGCTTGAAAGGCGGCGCCCTGAAGAGGATATAAGCCAGAGCAGCAGCCAGCTTGAGCCACTTGATAGACAACTACTGGTCAGATCTGTTGGTACTCCTAGAAAGACCTTTGCCAAGACCTCCACAGAGTATGAGACCTTTCCAGAGACCTTTGCTGAGACCTGATTGCTACCCCTGCCTCTGGCCCTGGCTCTAACACCGCCTGCAGACAGCACTGTCAGGCTGTCCCTCGTGTTTCTAAAGGAGCTGTTTGCGGGTGGCTTATGTCCAGCCTCTCTAAGGCTGTTTGCTGATGGTACAACGGCATCTCTATCAGATGTAAACTGGCATCTCTGGCACCATTGCCTTCTGGACCAGTGCTGACAGCACTGCTGACCTGTATCCAGCCTCCTCTGAGAGCTGTCCACCACTTCTCATCCTTGGGCACCATCTCCTGGTGGTATTGCATCTGGGCCTGTTCAGTCCAAGGCCTGGTGCTGTCCGCCTGGCCTTTGGACAGCTGTTCCTGGCTGCTGCAGCATCACCTGAGCAGCCCCACCTGGGATCACCTTCAGCTGCCACTGGGAGTTGGCTCCCGTCCACTGCTTACCTATTGTCACCAGCTCCAGGTCGCCATAGCACAGCTTGTTTGAGTAGCCCGTGTTTTGAACTGCTGGACACTGAGGACACTGTCTGAGGTAGGACAGATGGCCATTTCTCGTCTTAGACGCTCCTTTGTTGTTTGCAGTCTCCCATTTTTAATAAACCCTGTTGCTTTTACACC